AGGCCATAACCCACAGGAAGAATCAAGCACATCAAGGGCAACGAAACTGACACATACAATGAAGGAAGAGAAAATTCGTACAACATTGAAAATGATGACGATAATAATAATAGTAATAATGAGAATGAGAATGAAACAGTGGTAAACGATGACGGCGATGAGAGTTGTGACACTGAATAATTTTTATTTATTCTTTGTATTTTTTTTTTTTCGTAATAAAAATTGCATAGTGTTTAATATTAATATTAATATAATCAATAATAATAAAACAAAAACAGGGCAAAACGATGGATTGTTTTCTTCTCAGGAGCAGTAAACATCAATTAACTAAATATTAATATTTAATATTAAATAGCTTGCTTGTTAAACCTTTTTTTTTTTAATATATTGCAAAAAAGAAAAAAATTACAAAATGCAATGGCAAGTAGAAAAGATTGATTTGTTCCATAACATGATAAATTAATTTTTTTTACTGCCTTATCAAATTTGCAACCCTTCAGCATTAACCTTTTCCAATCTTTTGTATTCTTCTAATCTGCTTTAGAGACCTTTAATTGAGCAGAGTCAAAACTGAGAATATGCAAGTTTTTTAATAAAGGAGCTCAGCTCATTGCAATGTATATGTCCTTCAGCAAATATGTTCTTCATCAATATTCAACAATGTGGTTGGGCTTGTTTTATATATAGCCCAAATGGCCAGCAATTTGATTCAATTTTTTGGCTTCCACTAATTACACTGTCAGTGGAAGAGACGGTCTTAATGAAGCACATAGATAAAAAAAAATGGATGATATGGTTTTTTTTTAATTAGTTATTTTTTGATTTTTTTTTTTTTTTAACGAAATAATAATATTATTATGAATTTGATCAATTAAAATTCCTTCATTTTATATTCATTTTTATTACTCAAATTTAGAGGCCATTTCTTTAAACTAAAGCTTAATTCTATTTTAAGAAATTTATTTTTATAAATTAATTAAATGTTGAGATATTTAACAGTGGCTTTAATTATTTAAACATGAGTTTATTTTATTTTTATATATACAAAAATCAAAGGGACGGAAGGGATGTATAATAAACTTTTTTTTATTGGTCCAACTTTTTTTCATTTGTTTTTAATTATAAATAGAACTTCTATTCGTTTAAAAAATATTCTTTCATTAATAAAAAAAAATTTATTAAAAGAAAATCTCATCTTTATTTATACAGATTTTTGGAATTTGATAATTCATTGTTCGTGTTATCTTTTTAAACAATTTTATTATTATTTGAAAATTTGGATAAAATGTTCTTTTATAGTTGTTTGGATTCATCTTTTTTTTATTATTATTGGAGAAAAAAAAACAGTTTTAACAAAATGTGAGCATCTAAATTGTCGCACGACCAACAATAAACCAATTTCACTTTTTCTTTCTTGGAGTAAGAGAAAACTCAGAACCCGTTCAGAGACGGGAATTGACGTGATACTCTGGGCAGCCAAAGAAAAAAAATCATATTTGACATGCCGTATGTATATTTATTTAATTAAATATAAATAAATTATCATTAAATTTTTTTACATCGTTGGCAATAATAATAAATCAAAATTAAATAATAAATACAAATTTGGATAAATTAATTAAACCCTACCTCTTTAATTCACTCTTCTTGTCGTAAAACCTTGCATTATTATCAGCCAATATATAAATAGCTCTCATTATGTGCGAGCGTTATTCTTTTTGTGAATGTGCATTTATGCAAAAATTAATTGGTGATAATTTTTCTTATTTATATTAATATTATTATTACCAATTAAAAGGAATTTTTTTTACACCAATATTTAAATTCAATTAGAGTTGGGAAAAAAAATTCATATAAATAAAGGTGCGATTCCTCTTTCCTTCGGAACTATTATTAACATTAAATTTTTTCAAAACATTTAATAATTATTATATATATATAAAAATGGAGTTTAAGTTCTTAACACTTGCTCTTTTAATTATTACAATTTTCTCAAATATTTTGATCAATGCATCACCAATTCTCTCAGAAAAACGTGAAATAGTAGGCGATGTTGCTTTTGCAGATCTTTTACTTTGTGATGGTAGAGTCACATTTACTCAGCTTAATGGCTTTACACGTGTAACTGGACAATTCAACATTGGGTTTACAGATCCGGACCCAAATGATTATAAATTTCGCGTTGTTAATAAAAACGGTAAAAAAAAAAAAAGAGATTTTACCAATGAAATTATAAAACAATTGTTTATTAATCCTCCCGGAACCTCACCATTTCAATTTGATCAAAATTTCCAACTTAAATGCGTAGTGGGCAAATTTTTCTCTATAAAACATAAAGGCAAAGAAATCTGCAGAGGTGAAATCAAGGCAGCATTTTAATTAGTTGTTATTATTCATTATGTGTAAATGTAATTTAATGTATTAATATTAATATTATTAGTTCTTCTAATATTAAAAATTTCTTGAGAATTAAATAATAACGTCGTCAATTAAAAAGAATTTGTATCCATTAATCATGTAGATCGATTTCAGAAAAATAAAAAAAAATTTTTTTGAAATTTACCACCCAACGAAAACAAAAAATTCCTTCCCAAAAAATTAGGTTTGAAAAACATAGAATTTTGCTGGTTCATTGATCATGCCTCTCCTCACCTTGCAAAGCATTGCATGCAACGCTTGCAATTGAATCTATTAAGAAACGAAACATTTGCCGTACGACACAATTTTCGCCAAATATGGTGAAAACGTTGATCGCGCCAAAAACAAGCACAGCTAAACATAAAAAGAGATAATTGGCGAAAAATCTGCACGAAGATTATGAACTTTGCGAATTTCAGAAGGAGATGGTGACACAGCAAATAGAAAATTTCTTCTTTGTGTTAAATAACTAAATGAAAATAATAATAATATGATTCAAAAAAATTATTCAATGCAAGTGTGTTGTCGTACTATATACAAACATACAATTAATCCGGGCACAATTGACCAATCCTTTTAACACGTTTTTAAAGTGAATTTGAAATTTAAAACTTTTTTGAATTAAATCTAATACTAAACAAACAACTAATTTCTAATTCATTGCTTTTTTTGTATTCGAATAAATTTTTAAATTCGAATAAATTTTTTTAATTCGAATTAATGCTATGCATTCCTCCCATTATTTTATTTTTACGTTATTTTTGCTGATAAAATATTTTTTATATATAAATATTCATATCAATAAAGCTATAATTATTTTTAAATTTTTGCGTTTATATGTGAACGTGTTAATTTTTGATCCCTATATATCAATAATGGACGAATTTTACAATGAAACTAGTGAGTGTTACCACAATTAGTAACGTTATTTGCTTAGTGAGTAAGGAAAGGATAGTGTTGTTATATTTTTAATTGTAAGGCTGTCAAACAAGATGCTTAAAAGTTGTTTTGTAAATAAACCAAAGCGAGTTTGCAATCGGCCAAATAAAAATGAAGGGCCGACTGAAATAAATCGATCACAAATAAATAAAAAAGAGCTTTATAGAAACCATTAAAGTTTGTGAAAGAACCATCTTTATTTATTTACAGTTATCTGGTACCCTCAAGTGTGTTTAGCAGGTGTAAGAAAGCGAGAACCAAAGAAATATTCGGCATTAACAAAAAGTCTACTTAGGAAGTTCTCTTCCGAAACTATTTAGGGGGTTTAAATGAGTTTAAAGTAATGAGTAATTTAAACTCAATAAAATGAAGACTGCAATCAATAAAACAAATGAAATAAATAACAAACGAAACGAATGAAATGAATAATTTGAATAAAAATTTTACGCAACTAGTACAAATTAGAACTATACAACGTTACACCCAGCATTCTATTGTAATAGTTTACTGGTATAAAGAGATTTGGATAATTGATTGTTGAAGGATTAAGTTTAATCTGATCAAACTACGTAAAAAAAAATAAAAAAAGTCTCTGAAGGTTCTTTGGCAGTTGGACATTTATTAGAATCATCTGCATGCTAATTCAATATGAAATTTAGGAGTATTTTTTGCAAACTCGGGTCTTAGTCTATCACATATTCCTATGCTAGTACTAGGCCTATATCATGTGGAACGTTGTTGACCCGTTGAAATTACTGACATCAATATTCCGAAGCTATATATCAAAATCTCCTCGCGAGCCAGATAACATATTAGCTTTGTGAGCCTATTACATTGCTCGGCTTGCGAACCGGCTCATGTAGAGCTTTATATATAGCTGATGCCATTGTATAAAACTTCTGGTGAAAACAAATGACAACACTCCAAATATATCATTTTATCTGATACTGGTGTTTTATTAACAACCCTAAATCTGCAATATAAATAAGTGTTTAGAATATTGCTACTATGAGGATCATATTTCTATCACTGGATGTTTTATAAATCATCAATTATCTTATAGAGAATTAAAACTTTATCTTGCCACTTTAAATTTTTTAAATTCCTATGATAAATAATCGTAAAGATTATTATTACTAAAATAATTGGATTTTTGTAATATGCCATGATTAACTCCAATCAGATTGATGCAATTTAACGTAATTTTCTAATTGGAAAGTGAAAATGTTAAAGTTGGATAGCATCGAAAGATTTTGAGGATAATCTAATTTTTTTAAAGCAACAATGACACATCTTATTGATTTCATTTTTATTAACATAATGTAAATATGTTTCATCATTATCCAGATAGCTTTATAAATAGATGCAAAGATGATTAAAATATCCTCCTACCTTTAGTTGTGTACTTTTGATTATTTTTCGCCACTACTGAACCATCCTTGAGTAAATATCTCTGGACCACAAGTTTATCATCATTATTAAATCTATTACAGGTTGGACGTGTACCATGTCCTTCATTTCATCTTTCTGAATGTTCATCATCATTAGCATCAATCGAAATACTATAACTTATGTTTTCATTCCATCCTGAATAATTTGAATGGTATCCTCAAATATAAACATATTACTCAAAATTTACAACCCAAAAAAATTTATTTATTAAGAGAATTTAACAATTGATAATTCACAATTTTATTATTTCTTATCCTTGACTTTCTTGTCTTTATCCTTTTTATCCTTCTTCTCCTTATCCTTCTTATCGTCTTTGTCTTTATCCTTCTTATCATCTTTGTCTTTATCTTTCTTATCTTTGTCTTTCTTTTTGTCATCCTTATCTTTATCCTTTTTCTTGTCATCTTTATCCTTTTCCTTTTTCTTGTCATCTTTATCCTTCTTTTCTTCTTTATCTTTGCCTTTATCCTTCTTTTCTTCTTTATCTTTACCTTTATCCTTCTTATCCTTGTCTTTATCTTTCTTATCCTTGTCTTTATCTTTCTTATCATCCTTATGTTTACTTTTTTCATCGCCGCTAGTTGTCTTTGAGAATATTTTAAATAATATTCATTGGAAAAAAGTAAATTGTTTATTGAACTTGAATTATTTTAAATAATCTATTTATTAATTTATTAACGCTTACTGCAGTAGTATATCCAGGTGTCGTAGAGTTATAGTTAGGTTGAGGAATTTGGTGTGATGATTGCTGGTAAGCCAATTGTTGGTAAGTTGGTGGCAAGTTTTGTTGCTGTTCTGGTGGTGGTGGTGGTGGTGGTGGTGGATAATAATTTGAGTTAGTATTTATAGCTATTTTTCCACCATATGATGACGGATCAGGGAATCCAGCAGCAACTACATGACTATTAGAATCAGTTATCCGAGTTTCCGTATAAGGTGATGATGGATTAGTAGGTGGTTTCATCGTAGGAGGTGCTCCTTTTCCATAACCACTTGGAATTGCACCATTTTCTGGCCCAAGTAAGCTAACATAAGGCTGCTGCTGCTGCTGATTGTATTGTGGTGGTAAGGAGCTATTAGCAGAATTTGGAGGTGAATTACTTTGATACATTTTATTACAATATATTTTCTAGCAAAAAATTCAAAAACAAAAAAAAAATTAATTCCTTTAATTCTCTGTCGTGAGAAGAAATATTTGTTTCCAATGTTACACGCTGCCTATGTGAAACTTCAAATTTTAATTTGTTCTAGCTTCTTCTTACTTTCTCCTCAAGTTTCGCATTATTTTTAACTAATTATTTTTATTATTATATAATAAACAAACAAACACAGATCATTCTATTCTCAGAAGGAAAAATAGTAAGTAGTAGTTACACGCCAATTTTTCGTTTTTATAATATATTTAACAAGCTTATAACTGAGAACGCAATGTGAGCTTTTGCTTTTCGAGTTACAAAACACACATACCGTGCTACGCGAGAATAAAAATTCAATTAAGTTGTCTTCTTCGTCGCAAAGAGCAAAAA